TGGAGAAGGGGACGGGCAGAAGGGTACGTAAGGTCTCGCCTGACCAATCCCACGGGCCTGTATCCTGCTCAGGTCATGGTTGAGTGGAAGGCCCTGGCGTGGCCCACGTGGTTTGTTTTTGTTGCTGTTTCTGCCATTCTTTGCGCTATGTCGCGTGTGCTTGTTGGGCGGCGTGGGCGCACCTGCTCCGGGCCTCTCTTGGAGCCGTGTCAGGCAGGCCACGTTGGAGCGCGTGCGAGCCCGCGCGTGTGTGCATGTGTTTTCGGGAGTGCATGTGTGTGTTTGTGTGTGTATGAGGAGCATGATCAATAAAGGCTCCTGGCCTGGTCGGCATGCAGGCTCCGGGCGGGGCTGCAGGCGCTGGGCAGCGGCAGTGAGGACCGCCACAAGCACGGAGGACTCGCGCGGCGGCCGGGCTGGAGGGCCACGGGTGGAGGGCCGCGGGTGGAGGGCCGCGGGTGGAGGACAGGGGCGGGGGCGACACCTGGGCAGGGCCGCAGTGGAGCAGGGCAGAGACTCCCTCGGCCACGCTCGAGCCGCTCCTTCCCTGCTCGCCCTGCTGTTGCCCGTCAGCAGGGGCGTTGGGGCAGGAGCAGGAAGAAAAGGAGGGGTGGGGGAGGGAGGGGCGCGAGGGGAGGTGCGTCGTGTCCCCCGCATGAGAGTGAAGGAGGAGCGGGTCGGCCGTCTCCTCGCTGTGCCTGTTCGCCTCCCGTCTCCTCGGCATGCACACGCGCCCAATGCGATTCTGCAAACGTTCCCTTGCACCTGCCTGCCCCCGCCCCTCTCCTGCGCCTCCGCCCGCCCACGCCGATCGCCCCGTGCCCGAGGGCGCGGCACTGCGACGCTCCTCGGTGATGGACGAGAAGGTCGCGAGGTGAAGCCTCACCGCCGCTGCCGTGGCGGGAGGCGCAGGCGGTCGCAGCGGCGGCGGCGGCGAGGGCGCTGTGTGGAAGCAGGCAGGCGAGCAGGCAGAGCGGGCATGACAAGGTGAAGTTGCGGTGTTAGTGTCAAGGTGTTGCTGCGGCGACGAGTGCGGTTCAGAGGCCCACTGGAGCAGGGCCTCGGGCGACGCTGCGGCCGACGCTCGTGTGCCAAGGCGGATGTTGAGATTCCCGGCGCGGGGCTCGCACGCCAGGAATGTTCCAGAGGCTGGGCGGAGGGCCGCGGACGATGCCGAAACGCACAGGCGGACGAGGAGATGAAATAGGCGCTGGCACACGCGAGAGGAAGAACGCGCTGCGACGATGAGCGACGTGTCTCTGCTGTTGCCGGCCCGGGGGGACTGCTGGGCGGCCCCTGCGAGAGCACGACGCCCGTGGGAAGGAACCTCTCCTCCCCCTTCTCTGCAACTTCGGCAACACCCGCGCAAGGTGAGGCTGCTGGCGGAGAAGGCAGTTGCTTAAAGAATGTGCTAGGTGTATAAGGCAGAGGAAAGGGCATGAGTGTAATAGAAACCGTTGACGTAGAAGCGCTTGTAGCAAACCCAATACAAAATGCGCGGTGTCAGTTGCACCCTCGGCGAGAAGCATCAGTGACCTTCGGGTTAGCCCATCAGCTGACCAGGAACGGACAAACGGAAAACAACACAGCCACCGATTGATGCCATCCCCTCTTCCCCTCTCTCCCTCTCTCTCCCTCTCTTCCCCTCTCCCCCTCTCCCCCTCTCCCCCTCTTCCCCTCT